GCCGGCACCGGCGCGGAGGCGCTGCGGGCCCTCAGGAGCCCATGGCGACGCCGGGCCCAGCCCGGCCCTCCGCGCCTGCGCACGGCACTACGCGGCCCGCCCACTCGCCGCGCGGGCGGGAGGGCGGGGCGGTGGGAGAAGAGGGTGACGTAACCGCTCGGCTCTTAAAGGGGCCGTACCGCGCCGGACGGGGTGCGGGCAGCGCTCGGCGCTGGCGGAGCTCCTGCCCCAAACCCAGGCTGCTGAGCTCCGGCAGCAATTAACACTCCCGGTCCAGGCCGGTTAAGGGCAGGACTGCCCTCAGGAAGGTGTGTGTGTCCCCGGCAGCTTTTTTCCCCAAAAAAACTCTGGGGAAAAAAAAACAACAACAAAAAAACCCCATAGGTGTGGGTGTTGGAAACCAAAGCTGTACCCTCTACTCAAGCCAGAAGAAGGGATTTTCAATCTAAAGAAAAAAAAAAACTCAAAAACCCCATAAAAAGCCCCAAACCAAGCCCTAAAAAGCTCTAATATGCAAGCAAACTGCTTGACGAGACTTTCTCCTGCTTCTTTAGAAGGGCACTTGCCCTCTTCTTTCGAAACAGAGCTGCTGCCCCATACCTCCCAAAAATGGCAGTGCCTTTCCTTCCTGTCCCAAAACAGAGCTCCTATTCGAAACACAGCGATCCCTCCTGAACCCAGCCAGATCACGGCTCCGCTGCCTCCACCGCGGCGAGGCCACACACTCGGTGGAGCCAAGGCACCACGGGGAGCTGGGTGTTGTCTTCCACGTAGGCAACATTCCTTTCTTACAGAAAACAAGGTTTAGAAGGGGAAAAAGTCCAGTTTCATTCTGATCCCTCAAAAACACTCAAAATGGAAGCAAGACCAACACAGGATAGAGGCAACAGGACAGTACCCCATACCCCTGATCTACCCTCCCCTTCTTCCCTACTTTTTCTTCTCCCATCCGAGGAGCTGGAAGCCCCACGCAGCAGGCAAATGAAGGAGCAGCTCTTCCTGCTCAGCTGGCAGAGAGGAGGCTTGGAAGGAATTTGCAAAGTCACCAAGATCCATCATTTATTCCCAGCAGGTGTTTCTGAAAAATCAATTTCAAGAGTTTTACACAGCCTGCATGAAACACGCCTCTTGCCTGGCTAATGCAGGGAAGCGTAACTACAGGAGCAGTGATTTAGAAACAAATCAGTATTAAAATTTAGTAATTTACTGCCAGACAGGTCAGACAACCAGAGGAGAAACCCAAACAAACCACACCACCACAGACACCAAAGCAGCAGCCGTCACTTTACAGGGAGCTCAGCATGTTTTACATCAGGCACAGTGCTGTTATCAGGTGCTCAGGGCTGTTCCTCTCACCCCTCTTCTTCCCCTTCCTCCCCGATTTGAGGATAGAAGGCGGCAAGAAAACACAAAACCCAAGGTCCACTTCTGTCAAACTCAGTGCACACCCAAAGACAACTGTGTGGAAAGGTCCCATCCCTCTCCTCCTGAAGGCCAGATGCATGGGACGCCGGAGGCTGAAATCCAGGAACTGAGAGATCCTGAATCAGATTTCACATAGCTCTTGCTGTTCCAAGGCTGCTACCGCAGAGATCAGCTCAGATTTATTTTTAGGTGCTCCAGCCCTGTGCCTTTTTTCCAGTAATTCTGATCAAACTCGTTCCTGGAACTCGGGAACAGGTTCAGCTGCAAGACAGCGCTTCCTGCGTGTAAGGTGTCACTCCCAGCAAGGATGCCAGGGAAGGAAGAAATGACAGATGCTGGCGTCACTTTATCATTTTCTACTTTATTACTTCAAATTAACAACCACGATAAAGCTCAAAAAAGTCCAATATTTACACAGGAAAAAAGTACAAAATCCCCCCCAAAGTTCTTCAGGTTTTTTTTTGTTTTTTTAAATTACAAAGTAATAAAAAGTTTTGCTCTTTAATTAAAAAAAAGAGAGAGACAGTAAGAGGGGTAAATAAATTAGGAAAAAAATAGGGAGGAAAAATAAAGTGTTAAATAGAAAGGATAAAAACAAACAAAACAAAGACTAACCCCACCCTCCCAGCCACCCCCA